GCAGAACTTCACGACGAGCATCGGCACGTGCTTCTTGAGGCGGTGTCTCCATTCCACCAAGCATCTCCACCTGCCGTGGAGCCTTGGGCGGTGGGCCCTTCACGGGCAGCTCCTCCTTCTTCTCTGGAGCCGCCTTCATCTTCGGCCTCGCCTGTGTCAAGGCCTTGGCATACTGCTCCGCCTCCTGCACAGAAGAAGCAATCAGAATGAATGCTGAGCCTCCACAGGCTTGAGAACATATGCAAGCCTCCACAGGCTTTAAGGACGACATAAGCCTCCATAGGCTACTCAGCAACATCGGCAACTGCAAGACCTGTTGCACAGAAGGGGTCCTCCTCAGCCACAGAACCGCGAGAAACCGCCGGAGGAGCCGCCACACGTGGAGGAGGAATCGCCGGGGCGGCTCGAGGAAGAGGCTCATCCGTCACCTCCAGGTGACACAGACATGGCAACAACAGTCACAACATGCAACAAGCCTCTACAGGCTTCATGGCTTCACGAGCTTGAGCCCCGTCGTGCCTCATGTGCAGTCCTCTGCCTCTTCGGAGGCGGCCGCACAGCGGCATCATCAGGCTCCTGCAGCAAATGCAGGCATGACAACAAAAGTTACAACATGTGACAGGCTGACATGCAGCCTCCACAGGCTTCAAGGCTTCAGGAACTTAAGCCCCATCCTGCCTCAGCCTTCATAGGAGGCTGCTCCTTGGCAGCCGCAGCATGGAGGTCCTGCTGCAACGAATGGTTGCACATGCACTATCATGTCTCAAACGAACAGGCAATGTCTCCTCCAGACCGCCATGGGCACTCCACTGGCCCTCGAGCTCTTTGGCCCAGTCCAGGGCCCATTCTTCCTCCATCTTGAACTTCCCGGCTGCTCGTGCAATCGAAATTTCTGGCATGTTCTTGTCATGCAATTCAATGCAACGTAAGAAAGCCTGCACAGGCAACTCCAGCCTATAAAGGCTTCATGCAAAGCAGAGTCAAGCCTACACAGGCTTTCAAGAAAAGA